ATTCCAACGTGTCTACTTCTATTTTTAACTGTCATTCAGATGTATAAAATTCAAATAGCACAGCAGGTGTTTCCAGAATAAGAAGAAACAAAGAAAAGGAAAATTGCCACACAGGCAGTATTTCCTTGTACTTATGCCAGTTGGCAGTGTAGATACTTGGTTAGATTGACATTGATTAAATCACTCTCTTGGGCAGCACCTTTGATATTTTGTACTTTCTGTATCTCTCTTAACTGTGAAAACTTATGTGTTAGACTCGCTTCTATTATCTTTCTTTTGAGAGATTTTCTCATTCGTTTGTAGGTCTATCAGCTTTTCAAGATTCAAAGTTGCCTTTATATTCAGCCATTGGTGACATGTTGCAGAAGAGAATTGAGGATAAATAACTTGCCTCGTACTGAAGTGCCTGAACACCCATTTTATTCCAGAAATGCTGTTACTGTCTCTATGCAATCTTTTTATTCAATTCTGAGAAAAACCTCCTCCAAGCTAATTTATGTTTGCACCAATTTGTTTTGTACAATACAAAATGCTCTTGAGAAAAATATTTATCCAAAGTGTGCTTTTCTGAAGAGCCAAAACATTCAAGAAACTAGCATGGTTAATGCAAAAATGCATTAAGATACATGAAATTGCCCTCACAATGTAAATACAAGTCTAGGTTTTACATAGCCCTGCATTTTGCCAGGTCATAGGCTCTGCTTGAATGACAAGGTGATTCAGCACAGAGAGGCTATTGTTTGAATTCTTTACTCTTTTCATCCTTTTTTTTTTGATTCAACAGACTAGATATTGTTCCTCTGAATACCGGGTAACTGATTATTGTTCATTAGGTTTTGAGTAGAGGTTTTTTGGATCCATATATTTTGTTTGCTGTTTTTTCACTCACTATTCTCTTACTAATAAATTTGTCAGGCAGTAAAAGAACAGAAGCAGCATAAGATCAGTTGAACTGCACAGCCGATGTAAGCAATCTGTCATCTCTGTATAACACATTCAGAGCATTCAGAAAATACTTAGGAATTCTAAGTATGCTAACAGCCAATCTGCATGCCTCATAAATGTTTCTCAAATTAATGAAAAACCAACATTTTTTCAAACTTTTCTTTGATGAGTGTTATTCAGCTTGTATTTGTTTCTTCTCCAGGCTGTGTTTTTTTCTTGCCTGTCAGGGGAAAAGAAAATAGCTATGAGATCTGAGCCAAATAATTGAGGATGTTTGAGGATCCTGTTATATAACTGCATTTAACATCAGTGTTGGTAGGTTATTTTGTATTCATTGTCAGTCAACACATGATGACTTTATGAACCAAAATATTGATGTTTTAACAATTTAGTATATGAAGTATCTTTTTAAAAGCAGACTGACATATACTGATATTATGTAGATTTTAGTGACTCTGAGGCATACAAGATTTTTAAAGAAAGCCAGTAAGAAGATTCCTGGTGTGTAGTTTGTACTGACTTAATTTACTTCTAAATAACTTGTCTTCTGTTGTTTTTTGCTGACATGAAAAAATTGCTTCAGATGGTAACTACAAGTCATCTCTGAGCCTTCCTAATTAGAACATCAACCCAGCTTTTGTACCCTGGACACTATTACTCCTGCCTGGTCTAGTCAGTTTAAAGAACTGTCGGATTTACCATAGTTTGCAGAAGATTCTGGTAAAAGAAAGCATCAGATGTGCTTGACTGTGTGATGTGGCTGGTATATGCTATGGGAAATGGCTTTGGAATGGCTATGGGAAATGGCCTTAGAAAGGGATAATGAAAATACAAAGATCTAAACTGCAGAGAGTTTTTTGTTCTCCCTTCCACCTATTTGGATTTTTTTTTTTTTTTTGTACTTTATTGCTACCTATTATCTGTTTAAAAAGGAAAATATAGGGGAGAGAGATGGACAAATAACCTTAATCCACTACCAGAGTGAAGATGATTTCCTTTTGTTCACTTTAAAATACTAGTCAGTAATTTGTTTATGTAGGTCTACTACAAAGACTGGCTGAGTTTGTTTTTTTTTCATTGAAAATATATTATAAAGCAAACATTCTACAGTATTTTTTTCAGATTCCCACAGAAAAAATGTTATAGGAGATCAGTGTGTTTGGTTTGATTTCTTAGCACCTGATGCATTTCTCATACAAAATTCAATCAATAATCACCTCAGATGCATTTGGCATTCATGCTACACCATTTTTCTTTATTATTATTTCAATACAGAAACAAATTCCTTCTGTGTTTCATGGCAGAGGATTTTAGTCGGTCTCTAAGTACATTTATACATGCTGAAAAGTAGCTAAACAAAAAGCAAATCCTTAGTCATCCTGGTGTCACAACAGCACCAGAAATGAAAATGAATGGGCTACAACTAGACTGCTGCAATGGAAAGCAGATGAATAAAACTTGACTGGACACTTTATGAAGACTGGAGCATTCATTTATTTATCCATAAAACACCACAGTACAAAATGCACCTGTACAAAATGTAAAATAAATTTTTAAAAAAGTATCTGTTTATGTCCTTAATGACCTATTGGGCAATATGGTTTCTTTAAGTCTTTCAGTATATGACAACACAGTAATTTTTAGTACGGCCATACTCAGCTATTCATCACATTCATGACAAATGTGATGCCAGCAAAGCAATTTTTTTCTGTAAGAATCATGCACATAATGAGGAATAAGGAAGATGGCAGGTGAAGTGGGAGTTTTTGTCGAGATACACCTAATCTAAATACACAAGCACAATTTTTATGGTTTAAAAACATGGAGAAATGAACAGGACTTTTAGGATCATCAGACTGAGGAGATATTGGCCTTCTGACATTTGGCTTTTTCAGTGTTAGAAGGATCTCTGCTGCTTTATTTAGTGAAACAGAACACTTCATATGGATTCATATAAATTTTAGCTTGCCTGCTTTAAAAGCATCATCTCTCTGCACTGTCATCCTCTTCCTCAGCTAAAACAAGGTCAATCAAATCAAGTAGGTGTGAAGGAAAGAAAAATGGGTTAAGGATGTTGATCAGAGCTGAGTAGGCAATGAAACTCAAATGCGACGCCTAGAAAAGCAACAAATTTGGTAAAATGAATTATGCAGTCATGTGAAACTGATAAAGGCAAGTGACTGAGGTTACCTTGGAATATTTCTTGGCAAGATTTTTCTGATTTTTATAGTACATATTAAAGAAAATAACAGCCGTTATTTTTCAGCGTGGCAATTATCAGCAGCTCTTTTCCAGCTCTAAAATTATGGAATTATTTATCAGGAGAACTATATGCAAACATGAAACATAAATGTTTCTTCCTGTGAAAATGGTTACATCATAAGGATGTCCTTCAAATATCTTCTGAACTAGGATTCCTGAGCTATTCATTTATACCAGAGCCTTGTTCCAAACTGATAAAAAAGGAGTACGTAATATGAAGGTCAATTCAGAATGGTTCAAACAAAGAGATGAAGAGTAGAAATAAACAAAGGAAAATCAACTTTATGTACCTTTTGAAATGTTGCAAACCAGCTCTTCATCATGGGATGGTTTGCTGTGGCATACTGCACTTGCTTCATAAGACCTACTTTTACATCCACATAGGAGGTGTGGGAGGACCAGGAGATGTCTTCCTGCAGCATCTGGAACAGACAGCTATTTACAATTACTAGCCAGTGGTAACACCTTTGAGAATGACCCTGACCTTGACAACCAGTATTTCCTACTAAGAAGGCCATTCTACCTTACATCAAATTGCAAAACCTTATACAGGGGAAAAATGTTTCTCAGTAGACTGATTTCAAAAGATTAAGGAGACATCATAATTACCACACTTTCAGTGTATACAGAAAATCGAATCTTTATAATGGTTCCAGTGATTTTGTCTTTTCTCTTGGTCATTTCCAGTGAAGTAAGACATACTTGGACTAATACTGATACTCCCAGTCCAAGATTATTCTGAGGAGTTCCTTAGAGGTATAGAAATATAGCTACCTGTTATCTGGGTGATAGCCTCCTTCCGCCTAGCATGTTTAACTAATCCTAAGTGTAAATTCTTTTGAAAAGTACTACATACATTGACTTATATAAAATTATTTGTTGAGACATGAATCTCTGGACATAGTGTTTTAATTTTGTAACCAAGTGATGAATATCACCTAGCCCATAAACACAAATGAATCGTTTGAAGAGTTGCTCACTATTACTATGTACTATAAGAATCCACATGTCTAAATAATCCCACCAGTGACTTCATAATTTCCCAGGTGATTGCAAAGAATTAATTCAACTCCTTCAGGCTTAGGGAATGTTTACAGATAAACAGCTGCATTGGACCCAGCCATATCTCTCCAGCTGCTGATGTTAGTTTTTGATTTGCTGCTGGTAAGGAAGCCTAGAAAAAACTCTTCTTGGGAAGTGGTGGAGGAATGGATGAGAAAGAGCACAAAAAAGCCCTGAGCACCTTTCAGGTGTGAATTCACAGTCACAGAGGTACATGCATATACACAACCACAGGTTCCCATTGATCAGAGTAGAGGTACACTCTGGGCTCCTTTTTTCTGTAGCAGGACCTATGCTGATAGGAAAAGGGGTTACAGTTTTAAATTAAAAGATAGTAGATTCACACTAGAAATGAGAAGGAAATTTTTATGATCAGGGTGGTGAAACACTGGCACAGGTTGCTCAGAAAGGATGTAGGTGCCCAGTCCCTAGAAATAGGTCAGGTTGGATGGGGCTCTCAACAACCAGGTCTGGTTGAAGGTGTCCTCGCTTATTGTAGGTGGGTTTTGCAGCAAAACAAAAATGGGAGGAGAAAAATCTCCCTTATTTTTTAGTACTTTTGATCCCTTTTCATTCTATGTTTTTTACAGTATCGTTGATTTAAGTGTGTAACAGCGGCCAGCATAACATGAATTATCCTAGAGGAAATGATGAGCAGGTTTTTAATCCTTTGGCTTTGCCTTTTTCCTTCTTAGTTACAAAAAAAAAAAAAAAAAAAAAAAAAGCCCTTGTTTCTGCACCCCTAAATTAGCATTGTTCAAAAAGAAAAAAACAGGATAAAAAAGTTATTTATTTGTTCCTGGAAAAGATTAAAGTGTTCAAACATGTTACAAAAACACTTGAACGCAGAACTGTGACCCTCCATTAAGCCTCATAATTGTGGAGAATGAATATTTCTCTGACTACATGGACTGACAATTAAAATATTTTTTTATATGCTATATCCCTTCCTTTGTCACAACAACAAGTTTTGATGGAAAGCAGATGTAGATCTGCAACAGAAAAGAAGCAGCAAATTACATGTCAGTCATAAATGGAAAGAATACCAAGCCCATAAATTTTATACAGTTATGTCTATAAAGATAGATGAAAGTTTGTGCTGTAGTACGGAAAATTATCCATATCTCAGGTTCTACAATAATAAAGACATTAAAGTCAGCAAATTTTTCTTGACAGTTTCTGTGGTTCCAAATGATTGTCTAAAATTTTTAGATTAAGAAGAAAAAAATGAATTTTCTGAATTTCTCTTGGGAAAAAATAAAGGCAGGACTAAGATTCCCAGTTATCATTTCTCTTTTCTGAAAAAAAAAAAAAAAAAAGAAAAAAAAGAAAAAGGAAAAATAAAACCTCAGATTAAAATTAGCAGTGTGATTTTAAAGAAATTAAAAAAAGATGTGATGATGTAGTTGAAGCAAACATAGGACTTCCAAGGGAAGAGAGGATAAAAATTCAATTCCTCTATGAAAAAACTGTATCTAGGCAAAATTAGGTCTTCCTCAGAGAGTTCTGGCTTCAGGTGCCATTAAATTGGTCTCCAGTGAGAAGTAACCTTAAGTAGTTGGTCTGATTCTATGATCCCTCCTTCACAAGCTTAAGAGTTAAAGTAGAACAAACTGATGACCAAACAAAGAGATGAATGCCCTATAATAACTACATCTGAATATTCATTTGCAAATATCTGATTAACCAAGATACAAATGGAAAGGTTTATTTCAATGAGTTTGAATGATAGTTTCCATGAAAAGACTTGAGACTTCTCAATTTTTTTTTTTATTGTTGTAATGGATGCAACCAATTTGAAAACTTCAGCTTTATTGCCAGTCAAAGTGCAAGCCAAGATATTTCCTAATCCATGAAAAACAGACCTTTGAAGATCCATATGAAACTCTGTGGAGAGATAAGACAACTTCAGAGAGAAGGGCAATTAGATACAAGCAGTATTTTTACAATAGTACTGTGTTGTTTACAGAGACTGAAAACTAATGTTCAGTAGCCATTATTTTTCTGGCTAAGTTGCAGTTTCAATCTTCTTTCTAACATAAAGAGCATAAATGAGGATCACTATTAGGGCAGCACAGAAATGTCTTTGAAGTGGTTTAATCTCCACCTCCTTGTGACCTCTGTTTTTATGTCAGGATAGGCCACAGTAGTGCCATGCATTTCCATTAGCCATCCTTCTAATCTGAATAAAATAAAATTATCAAAAGGAGTGGAAATATCACCCTGTTACGTAGCATTATTGTCAGAGGTATATCAGATGTATCATCAGAGCACAAAAAAAACAAAAAGAAAAACCAGTCACAGAATATTCTGAGTTAGAAGGGGCCAATGAGGATCATCAAGCCCAGCTCTGAGCTGTAAGGCCCATACAGGGATGGAGCTCACAGCCTTGGTGTTACAGGCACACTGCTCTGCCCAACTGATTCAAGGCAGTTTATATGATGAGCTGCACCTCAATGATTTAACAGGAGCGATTTTCTGGTTCTTAGGAAGGGAAAAAGGTATTGTTTTGCCAGAGACACACCTGTTTGTACTGTTTGAGTTAACTGCTGAAATAACAGAAAGGTCAAAGATTCCAATAAAAATCTGGGTTTTTACTCATTTGCTGTTAAACCACCATGCAGTCAGATGTACTGACTTGCATGACTACATATGTCCAAAAGACAGCCCGTAGTCAGTTCCTCTTCACACTGACTGGTAAACAGTTCTGTTTTATGAGGGACTTTGTTCTTATCACCCATGTGTCCATACAATACTAACCAGACCTTTATGAATAATATCTGTTAAATATTAAGATGATTAGAAAAACGTGTTACCTGCATGAAGATGTGCCTAAAATACTTAAATCTTACTAAAATTAATGAGGTTCTCTGGAACTCACCATTGTACTATGCACACATTTGAGATTTTTACCGAGTGGCAGATTTTCTAATGAGTCTACACTATACTTGTGCCTATCGTTATCTCTTTGTACATAAAGCTGATACACATATTTAACAGTTCATTGTTCTTGTTACCTAATTGTTATTTAATGCCATAGTGATTCCTGTGTTTGTCTTGGATCACCTCTGTACTTTTTTTACATTGACAAATGAATCTAAAGATGCACCTTTTGTTCATTCATCACATTTATATTGTGGCAGCTGCAGTCTCTGTTAAGTGGCTCTGTCAGTTTTTCAGGCAGATATAGTAAGAACCTGATGGGATAAATAAAGCCATACATTTCAGCTGGAGCTAGTCTCTGATCAGGGAATGTGCTGTGAAAATGCTTGAAAAATCTCCATCTTCTGAAGAAGAAATCAAATGCAGCCTTCAAAGCTGATGGGATAAAAAAGCCAGAATCAGGAAAACAACAGGCAGAAGATGGAATTTATGAAAATTTAACGAGTATATTTATTTCAAATGATAATGAGCATGGAGAATAAAGTTTGAACTCATAATAATATTCCTAGCAGCCTTGGAGCAGTTTTTCATAAATACCAACATTTTCATGGTTTCTGAGAATCTTCACAAAATTGCAAAAGATTTATTTTTAAAACAGTTACACAGCCCAGAAGCAGAACACATACACACATGCGCATGCATTTTCTTTTAACTTCTGAGGTTCTACATTGTGGGGAACACTGAATAATTCTATACAGTCTGAGTCAGTTTGCATTCACTATACAAACTCTGGTATACAGACAGCTGTCATTCTTACTTTCTTATATTTGGTGTGTAGAGAAAGTAACAAGTAATGTATTTATAGAGGGATCAATTGGTATTGTAAGTTACTTGCATTTACCTGGTAAAAAATATCTTACACCAGAGAGAACAGTTACAGGTTATGTGGCAATACAAAGAAGTGCAAGTGTCTCTACTACCTGAAGCTTTATCATGATGTCGTCCTAAACTGAACCAGTAGAAGGGGCTTTGGCATGTACAAGTGACACTTTAACAGACAGAAGATTGAATGATACTGGTGAACTTTTAACTGTAAAGAGAAAAATTTATTTAATTAGCTTAATTAAATAATATAGGTAATATTTTGAAAAGTTAGCCAAAATATTAACTTCTATTAGTTGTGTCTTGCTAGTGATGTCTAATATATATATATATATATATATATATATATACTCAATACAGCATGTTGCTATATTGAGTGTACATCAATAATCAATACATGCAGTGATGCCTTGCTCCTTAAATTATCTGTGATGCTGTTTTATTTTGCCTCTTCTGTTTTCTAGGCTTTATCTTTTATCAAACTGCACATACTTTCCCATAGCCAGGGCTCCCCTATCTGTTCTGCTGTTCTGCCTCTCACAAACACAGAGATACAGAGACAGGTATTTCAGATGCAGGTTCTGAAATGGTCCTAAAAATTTGGGTCAGACCAGTTCTGTGACTGTGATACCTTTAAAAGATCCAAAATAGGAGTTAGAGGTATGAGTCAGCCATTAACTCTTGTTTTTTTATAGGCACTGAAATACAAAGGGCAGTTAAATACAGAGTACTGTTTCTGAAGTCTGTTACACATGAACATTTTACCTTATTTCTTATGTATTGGGAATTTAGGTTTTGAATTCTTCTAGTAGATGATCTGCAAGACATCAGCTTGTCTACCAAGAGAAGTGACAGGCTCCTTATATTCTGGAGGTATATAATGATATTTCATTTCCTCTGCTTAAATCCTACTTTTGAGCTTTGGAAAACTAGTTGTATTTTCCTAGTCTAAGTCTCAAATTTTCAAAATTTCTACTTGGTTGTTAATAAAAATAAAGTTAAAAGGTTAGAAAAGCAATTCCTGTTATTATATTATAAACCTGGATTACATTACATATTGTTACTCAATTATCTGAGGAATTTGTAAAGGTCTTACAGGGAAAATTACATTTATGACTTCACAGAGACTGTTGCTGAGTACTGAGGAATTGAATAGCAATATATCTAGTCTAATGGATATGCAAGCAAAAACATTGCCTAAGCTGTTTCTCTTTAATATCTTGATTTCTATACCTCTATTCTTCACTGTTGTTCCTTCATGGTACCACTTTGGTAAACAGAAAGAAGTGTACAATGTTGATAAGACCGAGTATACAGGGAAGATTAAAAAAGGAAATGTACCCATCAACTTTTCTATAAATCCTTCGGAAAGTAGATGGCCTACATAACCTTGCCTATACTCATTTTCTTTCAAGCTATTATTTTTTGTCTTTGCAGAACTAGAATTTGTAATTGCTAGAACCATCTCTTTAGATATGCAACTTTAATGTTTAGACAAACTACTGATGTATTGCAACTCAGTAAAACCTATGATCTTGATTGTATATCTGATGTAACCATAGAGCGAGAGAAGAAAAATCACCAGGGCAAACCATTTAATGGAAAAGAGAGATAAGCTCTATGTTTTCAATTCAACAGAAAAGCCATTTTAAGGAATTCAGAAACAAAATAGGAAAAAAACCCCACAACAACACTAAGTAAACTAATCACAGGATATTTTAATTTATATTTAATGTAATCATACTTGTAATCACTTGACATTCATGACCCTAACAGTCATAGGAATATTCTTCCAACTATTTCTATTAAAGTCTTCCCTGAGCTAGTTGTATTAGTAGTAGTAGTAGTAGTCTTCCCTGAGTCAGCTGCAAGATGAAGAAAATAATGAAACAACTAATCTGAAAGGCTGGATCCAGGAAACCCAAGCCTTTGGTTTGATAGATCTAGTTTGGTTGATGTGTAAAAACTGATCAATAACCTTCTACAAGGATAAAAAAAAAAAAGGTTTTCAAACTTAAATTGTAATTAGCAGCATTTCGAAGTACAGATATCACTAGAATTAACATGCAATACCTTTTTAATAAAGGAATCTTTGTTTATTTTCATATACCAAGCAACTTTTATGCATACAGATCACATTTCTGTGCTGCTTTGCTCCTAGAAATGTGGATATTTTCTTTACACATGGAAATTTTAACAGTAGCGTTTATCGTAATTACTGACTTTGGCTGTAGCATAGAAAGTAATAAAATACAGGCCAAGGTGGGAGGACCAAGACACCAAGTATGTGTATTTACAAATGGAATCAGGCAGGAAAGCAAATCATCCTTTCATTAATCTCCTAGATATTCAATGATTGTAGTGTACCCATTATGTTTGTAAGCATTAAATTTACTTGACCTTCAAAATAAAGCACACTTCCTGCTTCAGAAATGCTACATTTTCATTTTCAAGTTTGACAGCTCTCCTAGGACAGGAAGTGTCTAGGTCTGGAATTGCCATCTTCTAGGCCTGTAATCAGCTTCACAAAACAGCCATGCTGGAGCTAGAAATCTGAGGTCTTGTTTTCAGTGATTATAAATATATTCTTAAATACACAAAGTTTGTTACAGGCTGTAAAGAAAGTTCCATGATTTGCTTCTCTAAAGAAATTCTTCAATAAACTAACAAAACTTTAAAGAAATATTAATCACTAGAACCTGTGAAATTCAAATATTAATAATGTGACTTCATCTTAAAATAAATTATCTATTTATCCATTCCTTATCTCTGTACCTAGACCACCTCTATACCACCATTTACCAAGGAACATATTCAAACAAGGAATGGCATGTTTTAAGTAGCTCTGAAACTCAAAGAGTAACTCATATTCTCCATTAGTTGAAAAAAACTTTTTATGTACTACACGCCAAAATTATATAATAAATGCTATGTAATTTCTAATTTGGCAATTATTTAATAGAAAATACTGATTTTAAACAGGAGAAAATATGACCTTCAAAAAGCTGTAAAATATAGATGGACACGAATTTATAGAAATATATCTGTATTTTGAAAAGCAATATATTTATAGTTTTACAAATAATGATATATACTTACAGGAAAACTGAGATGTATAAACTGAAGATTTCTAAAACAATGTCTCTATTATCTACTTTTCAGGATTTTGAGATTTGATGTAAATTATGAATAAGTATAAACTCCTTTTTACCCTTAGCCATTTATAAAAAAATCATGAATTTCCAGCTTTGATTAAACAATAGTATGCTAAACAGATATATTTTTCTAAGCAGTAATTATTATGTAAACAAAGAAATTCCACCTCTTGACTAGTTACAGTAGTTATTTACTTGCATTGCCATTGTTTTAATTAAAATTAATATACTGCATGTAACCACAGGCATTTGCACAACCCACTTAGCTTTTGTTTCTATCAGAGACCTGTGTAAATGAAAGAAATATTAAACACTCTTGAGAGGGAAAAAACCCTAAAAACTACCTAAATACAGTTCAAAGGTTACAAAAGAACTTTGAGCAGTATTTAACTAGTTTTTAGGTTGTTGTTTTTTTTTTTTTTTTTTTTTTTTTTTTAGGTATCTTCAGAGTATTCAGGGAGAAAACCCCCAGCACTGGAGCTGGGGTTTGGACTGGGCACGTCCAAGGATTCCTTTACTTGGGCTTGTTTAGAGCCTGGCATGAAGCATCAGTTAGCTAGAAACAAAACAGATAACATTCAGCTCAGCTGAAAATTTTAGATCCCATTTCCAGTACATAGGATGGGCTTAGACATCTTCATCCATTTCCTGTGATGCAGAAATGACTGAGTGGCTGCAGTCGCGTCAGTGGCAGTGCAGTGTCTCTGAGCAGCAAGCGCCCAAAGGCCACTGGTTACACTGGTATTAATGGTCCTCTATTTTGTGAAGTCATGCAAAGCCAACAGTATATTAATGATTTTGAACTTATGAAAATCAAGACTAGGGTAATATTTACGAACTCTTTGCTCAGGAGAGTTCAACTGTGTGCTTACATACACTTCATTTGGAACAACATCTCCTTCATCCATTTAGAAATTTTTAGCTACATTCAAGAACTGAAATTTATTGACAAAGTGTGGTGATCCATATATTGAATCCACTGAATTTTACAATGATGGAATGTTTGTCTTGAGACACAGCAAAGAGAGTACTTACTAACTTCTAACCTGTAACCAGTTCTGTTTTTTGGTTTTTTTTCTGTGAGTGCTTTTGACAGGTAAAATATTGAGCCTGTAGGGATACAATCTTGTCAATAAATGCATAATGTTTTACACAGGGCAAACTTGTTTTTCTGTCTCTACCCATTGTATAAAGAGAATTCTTGTTTAAAAAGCCCTAACTCAGTATGTTTGAATAAAATAACACAGAAAAACTTCTTTTATTGGATTCATACATTGACATGCTGTAATCCTTAGTTATTTAAAGCTTGGTAACAAGTTAGAAGATTCAATAACACAAAGGCAAGCTTTGACAAGTAAACAAATTTATTCCACGCTGCCAAAATTTCAGAGCTCTGAATTGCCCACAGGGGCTCCTTTGTCTCCCATTTATTCAAGGTCTCCCATATTTCTATATCATGCAGTAAATACTGTAGTAAATGAGATACACTGAAGGCCAGAAAGAGAGTTCCAGGTCTATGCCTTACTAATGCAACCATGTAGATCTGACTAATATTTTTTCCTTATGGAAACACTATAGCCAAGTCTACCAGAATTTCACAGGAATAAAAAATTACTACAAACCTTTACTATTATATGTTCCATGTATCATTACATATATACTGGGACAGCTTTTATTTTTAATAGATATTATTTTGTTAAATATATTCTGTAGTTATATTCAGAGATTTCTTCTTGTAGACAAATATCCAATAATGTCACAAATACCTTTAAGGGAGAATGATGTCAGGTTTTACTTTATTTCAATTTTCTTATCTGATATTCGATGCCATTGGCAAGACTATCACTATCATAGTTTATTTCCACTATTGAAGTGCTCACACCTGAACCTTACCAGCTGAATTCTTATCTGATTACCAAGCCTTGAAGGTTTTTTTTGAATGTTAGTAATTTATCTCACTGGAGACAGAGCTTCCAGTCTGTGAATCTTCCTATATATTTGAGTCCTACAGAGGTAAGTTTTCTCCAGCTTGGCTGACAGTCAAACTGAGAAAATATTTAGTAACTTTGAGACAAAACTGGCCTTCCTTAGGATGCAAACAGATTTCCCATGACTCTTACTGCTAATTAATCTTGTCATATAATTGTTTTGCTATTAGAG